TGATTAAAATACTTTTTTTGTTGTTGTCAAGTTACAGCTGACTTATGGTGACCCTGTAGGATTTTCAAGGCAAGAGATGTTCAAAGATGGTTTGCCATTGCCTGCCTCTGGGTGCGTTCAGACGGGGCATTTGCAACGGTATAGGTGCCGGTTGGAATCGGTGTACTTAGCGGCGTTCACACGGCGAACATCTGCCGTCCGTCCCTAACCGTTGCAAAGAGCTTTAAACCGTTGTATTCTGCCACTAGGTCCCCAAGTGGTATCCTGAGTGCAACGGTTGTAATCGCTTTAACCCCCCCCCCCCCGTCTGATTGCTCTCCACCGTTGTAGAGCCACTTCCATTCGGAAGCCCGAAGCTTCCGATTTTCGCCCGCCATTTTTTTTTAGGTTGGCGATATGCGCTTGGGCGAAGCTTCGGCCCAGTGTTTGTTTTTTTAAAAAAAGAAAAGGTCCTTAGTTTGTTTTAGAGGAGTCCGGGACCTCAGGGATGCCAGTTTACTCTTTAAACTTTAAAAGTAAGTCCTCTCTTCAGGGCATGCTTTTCGGGACAGGGTGTTTTGCGCATGCGCGAAGATTGCCATTCTGTGGATGGCTGCCTATGTGCATGCTCAAACTGAGTTAAAAAAACCCCCCGCCGACGCCTGCTGTGGAACCGGTTGGAACCGGTGCAGTTTATGCCAGCTGAAACACCCCATCTGAATGCACCCTCTGTGTAGCAAGCCCTGGTATTCCTTGGTAGTTTCCCACTCAAATGCTGACCAGGGCTGACCCTGCTTAGCTTCTGAAATCTGACAAGATTAGGCTATCCTGGGTTATCCAGGTTAGGGTGATTAAAATACTACACATGTTTAAGCCCTGCCCCTTGGTTTTGACATCTAGCCGGTGCCGGCACTCGTATTAGGAAGACCATTGAGTAGAACAATTGTTAGACCTTTGTATGCACTCCTATAGTACGCCATCCTAAGCAACTAAGCAATGTATTTTATCTTGTTTTTATATATTTGGCATGCGTGCCTGGATGTTAGCCGCCCTGAGCTCGCTCGCGGGGAGGGCGGCCTAGAAATCGCTGCAACCCCGGTCCGCCAGTGGCGTGCTAATCAACCGTCCTCCATGTACTACTTCCCCCCCAGCTGGTATACAATCTTAGCCTCACTCTGCTATACAAAATATTCCTATATGTTGGCTGTAATAAAAGACCCCAAAACCTAGCCACTCCTACCCCAACAGTCAGCACTCCTTACAACCAGTCACTTTAAGTTCTCTCTCACCAAGGAAAGTATTATTGGGGGATTTTGAGTCCCAGTAGCTCTGCCAAGCTCCCCATAAGCAAGAGAATGCTGAACTACCACACACAAAAATCATTTATAGAAGACCCAAAACAGCATCCATTCCTTGGAGATCTGAGCAAACTAAATAAGGTTCAATTGGAACAATAGGTTTTCTAAAAAAAAGAGATGAGATCCAAAGCAGGGCGTGTTGTAAACTGAAAGAACTATTGAAATGGTAAAGAATGTGGAGCCCCTTCAGTCACCATGGCTAGTAGACATTGATAGACACCCTCCATGAATCTATCTAATTCCCTTTTAAAGCTGTTTATTCCTGTGGCCATCAGAAAACATGGACACTGATTATTCATGCCACTGTTTTCAACTTGTGACAAATGGATCATGTATATGGTATCAAAATAAGGGGATTATAGGACTCTGACAAATAGTGCAGAGAGAAGGAACCCCTGTGCTTTTATTTTACCAGAGGACGAGCCCATCCACACCTATCTAGATCATATCTTGTCATGATATGAATGCATAATATAAGCTATCACCATCGATGTATGTTCGTCACATGATACCTAGAAGGACTGCAGGGACTTAACTTTCCAGACATGGACTACGAAACTATTTTCAAGTCCCTCAAATCCAGCCCCTCCTCATCAAACTTTATATGTGTAGGGGGATACAGGACCTCTGAGGTAAAATTGGAGCCACTCAGTTTGCTTCTATAGTTTGCTTCTGGCCGCTGTTATATGTATTCTAATGATGGTAAGCTTGGGACCCCAATGATGGTCTTCTCTACACAGGAAGGTGGTTGACACTAGATTTCTGATGGGCCATATTTGGAGTGAGAGTTGTGGCAGGTCTTTCCTTCACCTCTGTCTCGATTTCTTACAGTTGACCTGCTCTGGAACAGTATGCAGTTTTTATGGGTAAAGGGAATGAAAAGAATTGGCAACAACATGGAAGCAGTGGTTTAGCAGTTGGCCTGCATGCGCCTCTTCTGGCAGCTGTGAGGAGGCAACAGTGCCGTGTTGTGGTGGTGGGTTTGCCGTGGCTGCAGCAACCCTGAGCATGCATTTGGTAGCATGTTTGTTGCCAAACACTGGTGTAGATACTGCCATAAAGAGAGGGAATAAATGGGCTATGGCTTTCATGCTGTTCTGAAAGGTGATACTAAAGCTTTGAGTTTTCTGCTTAACACCTTATCTCACGACTGAAAATAGCCTTCTGTGGAGCCAGTCTAGGCTGGTTTAATTCCTTCATTTTATACACAGATCTGTCTCTAGCTAATTAAAAAGCATGCTTGTTAAAAACATCTAACGTTGCGTAATTGTCTGTATGTGTTGTTCTGTGAGGCAGTGAGAAAGAATGCAAAGGATTTTTGGTTTCTCTTCTACCTGAAATGTCGTGTAAATGTCTGCAGATATCAAAACCATGTCTGTGCTGTATTGAGATTTTTCTTTGCCTGACTTTCAAAATTAAGAGAACAGGAATGCTAGGTCTTTTTTTCCCTCCTCCTTAAGGACAGAGATTATGTACCTGATAAATTCAGAGCCAGCCTTAGAGACAATGCCATTTATTCATTCGCCTAGAGATAACAGTTTTAAACGTTAAGACCTTTGGGATTTGAAAGCCCTGTGTGTGTAACTTTGTGGGCCGCTTAGAATGGCATTATTGAAGAAAAGAAAAAGAAAAGAAAAAGGGAAAAAACCCTTACTAAACTAACAAAAAACAAAAAAAGTCTGAAGAGTTTTTTTAAAAAAACAGTTGGCTTAATTTTCCTCACAGAAGGCCAAGGGCCTTGAAGGAATTGGCTTAGTGTATAGTGTACTATTGTTGCTATAGCAACCTGCAGCAGACCAAAATGGAGGCAGCGATCCAGCATGCGGATAGAGCAAAAGGCCAACTCTACTGGCAAATTATATCTCCGCTGAGATAGCACTTTTAAACTAAAGGCTTTATTTTCTGAAAAGCATTTTTAAACAAATCAATAAACAAAACACTAACCGGTCACTTTAGTTTTTAGGTAAACTGTACTAGGCTTGGCATTGATCTCAAGGTATTTATTATAACCCCGTCTTCAGCCTAAGATTTTGTGCTTTCCACAGGCATGCAAATAATATCCCTATTCCCACTATTCACATGGAGAACACAGGAACTTCAAGGCAGTCACGTGAGCCAGTCCATAACTATGATGGCGTATTAACCAAAGTCTCTCAGATGAATAGATAGCTGCATTTAAAAAAAATAATCTAACTCATCCTCCAAGAGAAGTACAGTGTAGTCCTAACCAGAGTTCGTAGCATTTGAGAACACTAATGTGAATAATTGATTTGGATAATACTAACCAGGGTTCCCTTGTAACCATAGTTTGTTATTCAGATTGTGATTGTAGTTTTAAATCATAGATGAGAGAGAAACCTAGGCCTCTGCCACACGGCAGGGAAAACACCGGTGAATGTGCGGCTAATTAGAGCCGCACCAAAATAGAGACGTTGCGGGCGGGATCCCATGGATCCCGTGAGCTGCGCGCCGTTGCTCCCCGGCACGATCAGATGCCGGGGAGGAAGAGACGAGTGGGAGGGGGAGGCTGCCGAACTGCGCATGCTCGAGCATGCGCAGTTTGACTGGGGGCCGGGGATGCGCCGACACAAGGACGCGCCGCCAATCCCACGGCCTTTCGATTGAACCACCCGGTTAGGTGGTCCTGTTTTGGTGCGCTTTTTCGGCGAAAGGGACGGATGGGGGACGGGCGCAGCACGATTCCCAGATGTTGCTGTGGGATCGCGCCCGTTTGCTGCGGCCCCGATCCGTCCCTCTCCCGGCCCAAAACCCCTTGTGTGAACAGGGCCCTCGTTAATTGTCAATTACATTATTAATATCTTTTTCAATGGAACAAAGTTTGAGTCCAGTGGCACCTTTAAGACCGACATAGTTTTATAAGCTTTTGTGTGCATGCACACTTCTTCAGATTCTTCAGAATAAAACTTTGTTGGTCTTAAAGACGCCACTGGACTCCAACTTGGTTCCGACTCTATGAAACACTAAGTTTTTCTGCACTAATAATAATAAGTACAGTAGATTTTATATGCTACTTTTCTCTACCTTAAGGACTCTCAAGGCAGCTCACAATCACCTTCCCTTCCTCTCCTCACAACAAAAACCAGGAGGGGAGAAGGGGCTTCATGTGCCATGCAGAGGTCATTTCGGGGGGGATCGCAGGGGATCGCAGTTCCCCTGGGTGAGGTACGGGGGGGGCACATGATGAAGCCCCGCCCCCTGCTTCTGGCCGCCCCGCTTCCGGCCCTCATTCAGCCAGGAGTAGGCAGGAGAAGAGGGAGGGTAAGTTGCTTCCTCCCTGCCTCTCCCCACCCCTGCCTGCCTGGGGCCAGGGAGGGCCTTCGCGGGGCTTCCTTGCACTCCCGCCGGCCTTGCAGGTCCACCGCCGGGCCCCTCATGGGGCTCGGCAGTGGAGCTGCAAGGCTGCTGCTGGCGGCCGGGACCGTTGGGGGCAGGGTGTGTGGCCTTATGACACACTTTGGTGATGTCAGGGGGTGTGGCATATGCTAATGAGTTATGCTAATGAGTTCCCCTAGCTCTTTTTCTATGAAACGACCCCTGACTACTACATCGTGATGCAAGAAGGACTTGGATTCAAGTTGTTCATGAATAAAATGGTGATCTTTTAAAAAACTTGATTCTGTTTTTTTGTGCTTTCTACCACAGGGGCAGTATTGTGACATCTGCTCATCTTCAAACAGCAACAAAGCTCATCCCATCACCAATGCTATAGATGGTACCGAACGTTGGTGGCAAAGCCCTCCTCTTTCACGTGGACTGGAGTTCAATGAAGTCAACGTCACCTTAGATCTTGGACAGGTAACTACAATGAAGGGTTTGGGGTGTTTACTCGTTGGCCAAGGCTCGGTGTTAACTTAAAGAGTGGTGGAGAGACAAGAGACCTTCTCTGGTCATAGATGTGTAAGTAATGTTACAGGACACAAAGGAAATCTTGTTGCTTTCTGAAGGTGAGTGCAATCAGTGGTGTATGCCCTGGTTACATCTAGACTAGATTACTGCAAAGCACCCTACATGGGGGTTGCTCTTGAGAAGCATTTAGAAACTTCATTTGGTACAGAATGCTGCAGCCGCCAGTCAGGATGTCAACTGGAGTGGATTATAGGGCACATATCACTCCAGTCTTGGCCCATCTACACTGGCTTCCAATTTGTTTCCAGGTACTATTCAAGGTGCTGGTTTTGACCTTCAAAGCCATCATATGGTTTGGGACCAACATATTTAAAGACCACCTACTCCCTTATGAATGCTCTTGACCACTGTGGTGATCTTCAGAGGTTCTGCTGCCTCTGCCTTCTGAGATCAGGTGGGTGGCAGCTCAGGTGAGGGCCTTCTCGGTCATGGCACCCAAACTCTGGAACTTTCTCCTAAGGGACATTTGTCTGTCCCCTTCTGTTGCCATCTTTCACCAGCAGGTGAAGACTTTTTTGTTTCTGTTTGCATTCCTTCAGTGATGTCTCTTTCCTGACCCATGTTTTAGTTGCTGTTTTAATATTTTGTACACATTTTAGCTCCATTTTTAATTGTTGTAACGATGTGTGCATGTTTTTGGAGGGGAGGGTTGATTATAATGTTTTAAAAATGATTTTATTGTGTGTGTTTTAATTTGTTAGCCGCCTTGGTGGCCCTTGTGAGGGCAGAACGGCCAGATATAAATTTTGTGAAGCAAATAAATAACGCCGGTCCTTAAAGTCTTCACCAAAGCGATGATATTGTATGCCATACTACCATGCAACAGTACCTGTTTGTCAAACAGTACCTGTTTGTGAATGTGTTTCAGAAATTATCTAGGGCCAGTTTGCATATTCATCAGAATCAAGTAGTTTATTTTGTTTCTGATGAATATACAAACATGCTGAGAATAATTTAGGCTGCAGGTGGGGGAAGATTGTTTTTTGTGAGGAGGGGCACTAAGATATACAATCACCTCATATAGCAAAATAGCATGATGGGGAGAACTCTGAGCAGTTCAGCAAAGAAATGTTCTTGTTAGATTTTTTTGTTGAATATATAAAATCGGTTCCTAAGGAAATAATTAATGAGCTGCTGTGATGGAGAGCTCTGCGTGAACAGTTTATGATTGGTTCCCATAATTGGCTTATATCAGTATGAATGGATAGTGAATTGCCCTTCAGGTTGGGTTTGGCGCTTTGCTGTCGTTATGATCTCAAAGAGTAGAAGACGCAAAGTCAATATTGGCCCAACTTTTGTTGTTGAGGTTGTATGGACATTGGAGCCTCCGGGAATCTCTTCTGCAGGCATAGTGAAGAATCTAAAAGGTGACGCTCCACTTCCATACAAAAGAAAGCAAATAGCTGCAATCTGAGTAGTCACTTCAAGGGTTTTAATGTGATTAAGAGAAATGCGGCTATTTGTTGAATGAACATTCAGACCTTTTGAAATCTGAGTTCATGGTGTCTTGTCAAGACTAGGTATGTAATGTGAAAAGTATCTGGTGTCTTAGCCTTTCTTACCTTTTTTTGTAACCTGATTTCTGAGTCATGGTGTGCAACTTGAGAAAGAGTAGCTCACATGGTCTTTCATTTTTAAAACATTTGTTTTAGGTTGAAATGCAGGGTAATAGGAAACCATTACCAAGAAAGCCCCATGAGATTTCTACATAATATAGAAATAACCTGAGCTGGATGTCCCACACCCACTAAATAATCTGCTTTCAATGCACTTTCCAACTGGATTTGTACTGTGCAAACTGGCAAAATCCAATTCAAAAATGCACTGAAAGTGGATTGAAAGCAGATTATTTAGTGTGTGTGATCACAGCCGGGCTAGCTGATCTCGTCAGATTTTGGAAGGCCCCTGCCACACGGCAGGGAAAACACGGGCCGAAGCGCGGCTTTTAAAAGCTGCGCCAAAAAAGAAACACCGCGGCGGGATCCCACGGATCCCCTGGCCGCGGCGCCTTATCTCCCCGGCACGATCAGATGCCGTGGAGAAAACACAGTTCCGACGGGGAGGCTGCTGAACTGCGCATGTCGGAGCATGCGCAGTTCGGGTGGGGGCCGGGGATGCGCCAGCGCAAAGACGCACCGGCGATCCGACGGCCCGGTTGAGGCGCCTCATCCAGATGAACCACCTCGGTAGGTGGTTCCCAGTTGATGCGGAGTTTCGAGGGGAAGGGCCGGATCGGGGGCGGAAGCACTACACTTCCCAGATGTTGTGGTGTGATCGCGGCCGTTTGCTCCGCCCCCGATCTGTCCCGCTTCCGGCCCAAATCCCCTAGTGTGAACGGGACCGAAGCTAAGCATGGTCAGCCCTGGTTAGTATTTGGACGAGAGCAGGACTTTTTTTCTGGGGGAATGCACTGGAACAGAGTTCTGGAACCTCTTCGACAATTTAAAAAAAAAATGTTTAAAAGTTCATAAGTTTTCAGTATACAGACTGAAAACTTCATTTCCCTCTAGAGAGTTTCGGCACCTCTTTTTCCAGAAAAAAAGCCCTGGATGAGAGACCTCCAAGGAAGTCCAGGGTCACTATGAAGAGGCAGGCAATGGCAAGCCACTTTTGAATTATTCTTGCCTTGAAAACCCTATGAGGTCCTTGTAAGTTAGCTGTGACTTGACGGCACTTTCCATCACCATAGAAATGAAATGAACCAAGTTTATTTGGCATTATATTGAAATACTGCTAAGCCTCAGAGAGCAAATAATAGTCACTGGAATAAAAACAGACATTAAGAATTCTGATGTCTTTTCCAAGTACAAAATTACAAATAATCAAAAATAGAATACCATCAGCCATGAGATGAGTAAGTAAAAATCCAATGATAACCATGTAAAAACTATTAAGCTGTGTTTCACAGCAACATTTTAAAGAAGTGAGACTTTGTAGGATCTTGTTTTCTTTTTTTCTTAACATAAAGCATACAATGAAATTTCAACCCAATTAAATATTGGGTCTTAAAACAAAAATACCCAGAAGTTGCTTTGAATGAGTTTAACTAAGCTTTTTTTTTTTTTAAACTATGCTGGTAAAAATGAAACCATTGAGGAAATTCTAATTAGCAGCACTCACTGCTTCCCATGTCTCACAGTCCAGCACAGCTATACAACAGTGCTCTTGGGAAGTGTTAAGACTATTTGTTAAAATTTTGTAGCTGTATGGAGACTTCCAAGAAAGACAGTATTTTTAATCAATAACTGATAGGTAAAGTGACATTCTGTATAATGGCAATTATGTAAACCATCTTCATGGAAAACTCCAACTGGTTGTGGATCTGCAGTATCAGGGATTTCTTTCCCGGCAGAAATTCCCCCAAACAGCAAGCTTTTTCTCTTTGCAAGCCGAGAGATTCAGGAAAAAAAGATAATTTTCTGAGTGCCTTTTGCCCTTGTGTGGCCGAGACACGGCAAGGGCATCTGACTCCAGTTGTCTGTTCCGTGGTATTGTCTGTTTGGAAGCCACATTTTCACTTCAAAGCAGGAAGCTTTTTGTTCTGGAACATTCTGGTTAAATATTTAAACAAGGCTTCAATACAGTAGGGGACCAAGACAGCCGACTTGAATGGGGGCCTGGAGATGGGGGGAGCTGACCATCTCTCTGGAAGGAGCTTTTCCTTCATGGAAGGGTTTGACAGTAAACCGTCACACTGGCCTTTTATTTCAACAGTGTGCAACAGTATCTGACTTGGGAAATGGCTGGCAGGGACCAGCCTTGCAGTTTCTTGCTGAATAGGGCAGGCGGAGGAGGCAGTCTGTGCTGTAAACAGTTTCCTCCTTGGAATTCAGAGTACTGGGCATTCAGCTCAGGAGCCTGGTTTTCATGAGACAGCATTTAAAGGGCTGAAGTCTTATATCATCCTGTTTGGTGTAGTGGTTAAGAGCGTGGACTCTAATCTGGGAGAACCAGGTTTGATTCCCCAGTCCTCCACATGCAGCTGTTGGTGTGACCATGGGTCAGTCATAAGTTCTTTCAGAGCTGTTCTCTCAAGGGCAGTTCCCTCAGAGCTCTCTCAGCCCCACCTACCTCACATGGTGTCTGTTGTGGGGAGGGGAAGGGAAAGGGGTTGTAAGCTGCTTTGAGACTTGTTTGGGTAGTGAAGGGTGGGGTATAAATCCAATCTCTTCTTCTCTCTGCTGGGCTTGCAAAAAGTAGCTGTACCATTTCTAAAAAAAAGCACAGTTTTAAAAATTGCTCATTTAACATGTGGGGCCATTTATTTGTGTATTATCCCATTCTTTCTTTTTGGTGATTTTGGCATATGAGGATCAGTCTTGTGGGTGGGCATTGATGGTGTGGTATAATTCAAGCAGAGTTTCAAAGCCTTGGAGACTTGTTTTTTGCCCACAGATCCTATGTGTTCATTGTCATGACTCAATGGTAGAGCATCTGCTTGGCATGAAGGTCCCAGGTTTGATTGCTGGACTCTCCAGGTAAAAGACTCAGGTGATCTCTGCCTGAGACTCTGGAGAGCTGCTACCAGCCTGAGAGCCAGTTTGGTGTAGTGGTTAAGTGTGTGGACTCTACTCTGGGAGAACTGGGTTTGATTCCCCACTCCTCCACTTGCACCTGGCTGGATGACCTTGGGCAAGCCATAGTTCTGATAAGGGCTGTTCTTGAAAAAGAGCAGTCTCTGTGAAGAGCTCTCTCAGCCCCACCCACCTCACAGGGTTTCTGTTGTGGGGAGGGGAAGGGAAAGGAGTTTGTAAGCTGCTCTGAGACACCTTTGAGTAGTGAAGGGCAGGGTATAAATCCAATCTCCTCTTCTTCTTCTGAGTAGACAGTAGTGACCATGGTGGAGCGGTGTGCAGTGTTCCCTCTAAGCTGAATTAGTGTGAGCTAGC